GCAACATGCGGGGGGGGGGGAAACAACACCCAAAGGAATGCAAGGAATATTACATGACAACTCTCGACCATGCCGATTTAAGACCAGGGTAGCTCACCAGCTCGGCCTGCCGGGCCAGGTATTGCTCTCGGTCCTCCGCAAACTTCTTCATTTCCTGGTTGCGGTTGTCCTCCGCCTCCTTAATTTGACCAATCAGCGCCATCTTCTCCTCCCGCCACTTTTGACGTTCTGTCAGGTGCTTCTCCTCAAACAGCTTGGCGAGAAATCAGTCACAAGACAGTCGAAAATTGTTCTCAAGAATGCACCGGGAATAAGTCATGGGTTAAAAGCTCTTGTTCTGGTGTCATCGCATCGCATGGCTGACAAGGGGTGGAGACATGCGACAATTGGCACGGAGAAGCTTGGCATGGTTCAAAGGCAGTCAAGTGAGGTCCGAAGGACAGACGCTCTCATCTAAAGTTTCGACTCGGCCACGTGGACAGTTTTGTTGAAGAAAAAGACGGGAGCAGCAAACATCTGCCGTCGGTCTTTTGCAGCACAAGGTAAGCTGACGCTTATCACTCCACCGTGTTGTTGATCAAGAAACATCCAGAGCGGGTTGCAATCACATCTTTACTGAATCTGCGCAGACTTTTCCGCCATTCTGGGAACTCAAACACTTGGAAGGTTGCCATGCCGACAGGTCGGCAACACCCCTCGCGACATGTTTTTGTAAATTTGCGCAACGTACTAAGGGGACCTTTAACTCTGGTGCAAGTTCACCTTATTATTCACCGTGTTAAGCAAACATAAATAGTTTGACTGCACTACTTTTCAACAAACGATATGCAAACAGTTTCAAGAGCAAAATGAAACCGTCAAATGAATGGCTATCATTTGAGAATTAATGATTATTAAATAAACAAACAAACAAACAACTATTTCCCCAACAAGTGAATTAAAAAAAAAAGTGCAGATAGATATTTCATCCATGAGGGAAATCATGATGCTACAAAAGGTAAGCGTGCGTGTGTGTGTGTGTGTGTGTGTGTGTGTGTGTGCGTGTGTGTGTGTGTGTGTGTGTCCATGACACGCGGTCCAGGTGTTAAACAGTGGTGCTAGTAACCCTTTGACAGTCAATCAATAACTTCCTGCAGTTTACCGTGATGTTCTGGTGAGCGCTTATCTCTTCGTCTTTGGCCAGCTGGAGGTCACGTGACAAGGCCTCGGCGCACTGGCTCGCGTGGCCGGCGTTTTGCTGTCTCAGCATCTCCTTCACTTTGTCCACCTCGGAGCAAACACAAGACGGCGATGAGTGCTGTCATCTCATTGTTTCTGCTGAGCAAGTTTGGACAACAAGTTGCGACTCTACCCTCCCTGCGGCTTAAACAACGTGCGGCTGTTTACAGATTTTTCTTGATGCTGAATAGCTAATGAGGTGCTTATTTTTCACTGCAAATGTTTATTCAAAGGACTTATGTAACTTGCTCTATGAAAACGTACAATTCTCAACTAAACTCAAGCGTATTTCTTGAGCACTTTAAAACGACCACCGTGTTTCAAGATTTGAAAAAAAAATGTATCGGGAGCCATTGAAGGGATGCCAGCGTAGGAGCTATGTGCTCCCTCTCATGAGTACCAGTCAAGAGGCGAGCAGCAGCATTCTGGACCGACTGGAAATCCCTCATGGAGGATTGGCTGACTCCAATCAGCAACTGGTTGTTCGTATGGCTGCACAGCTTCTTTCGGAGGTCCGAAGAGTTCTCTTCCTTCCTTCTTTCGACAGCGTCTCGAAAGTTTTCACACTCACCTGGTACATCGCCTTGACACATTATAGAGCAGAAGGATATATCCGAAGAGAAATGTGGAAGAAAAGTCCGCAAAATTAGGCAAACGTCACACAAGAACGCTCGCACCCATCAGAACAGGACAACAGCAGTCAAGGAAACGGAATGGCGCTCCCAGTTTGAAACGAGCCAATCACAATAACACTTTTTCTTCTTTTACTCCGATTAGTTCGCTTTAATTTGTGCTCCTGACCCCTAGTGGAAATATTTTTAAAGGCGCCACCAGCACCGTCGAGTGAGCTGCTTGCCCCCCTTTCAGTGTTTTAAAATTACATTTGTGAAGGATTCGTTCTCATTTTTATTTTAAATTCATGAAAAGTTATGAGGCTGAAATCAGTGGCTTGTTTATTTGTCTTTCTGTGGCAGGAAGTTAAAATTAACCGAAAGCGTTCAGAGGTCAATAATCATTTTAAAAAAATATATTCTAGAGCTGCTTTGTGTGTCGCTCAGTTATGCACTTTGCACATATTTGCACATCTATTTATGTGAAAAAAAATTACCTTTTCCAAAGTTGTAAAAATGAGCTTGATTGGACACGGGAAAACGACAGCATGTGGAATTTACCGATATTGGGATGCTCTTCCACACCCTCCGTTGAAAAAAAACCCAACTTGACGAATATGTTTGTTGGTGGCAGCAAAAATTTAGATGACCAGAAGAATGGTCACACTATTTTTTTTTTTTTTTTTCCAGAGAGGCATCTTTCAGTCCAAGATGGCCGCCAACATTCCGGGCATCATCTCCATGGTGTTCTTCTACGCACTGGTCCTCGGCATCGGGATATGGGCGTCTGTCAAGTCCAGGAGGGAGAAGCGCAAGCAGGTGAGCGGCACCTTGGAGATGTCGTTGCTTGGCAACCGTAGCATCAGCCTACTGGTGGGGGTCTTCACCATGACAGGTGAGCATCTTTGCACGCAACTTTCCATCTTGTTTTGGTTTTTTTTTTCGTTTTTTTGGAGAGGTGGGGGGGTGGGGGTGGGGTTCCCCGCAGAGTCAGCGTGCTTGTTGTTCTTCCTTCCCGAAGCCACGTGGGTCGGAGGCGGCTTCATCGTGGGTCTAGCCGAGATGGTGTACACACCCTCCATGGGCGCGGCCTGGGCCACCGCTCTCACGCTGGGATACAGCACATCCTTTATTATTGGTAAAAAATAAAAATAAAAAATCATTGTGTAAATATATATTCATATTAAAAAATAAAAAATAATAATAATGATGATTATAATTTGTATTGCACTTAGCTAATTTAATCATTGAAAAAGGGCTATGCAGTGGTGCCTTTAGATAAAAGTGACTCTTTTCTTCGTGTTCTGTTTAATGTTGTTATGTACAATCAAGTGCTATTCTTCTTGCGAAAAAAAAAGTACAAAAATTATCGGTAGTTTCTCGGGGCGGGTGGCTGACATTGTGATGCGAGCATGGCCATACAAAAAAAGACAAAAAAAAAAAAACTTGGATCTCAATGCACCGCTGCATGGAAGAGGTTAAATTTGTCTCAGCTTCCCCGTGAAACTAGAAGTGGGAAGCTAAGACTTTTCAGTCAGACCTTTTCAGACCAGATAGAAACTGACTCCAATTAATTTTGTCAACTGGCTGCTTCAAATAGAATCACCTCTGCAGATAGATTTTTGGAGTAGATATCGAGTCAACGTAAACATGTACCTGCATCCAGATGATTTTATTTCGTGCAACCTCTTGCAAAATGAAATGGAGTCAATTCAGCACAGCTTTTTTATTTCCCGACGGCTGATTGCCAAGATGATGTTGGCTCTCCACCAGGCGGGCTGGCGTTCGCTGGGCCGCTGCGCGCAACCCAATGTGTCACCATGATGGATCCCTTCCAGCGCAAATACGGCAAAGGCCTGACGGCCGTCTTCAGCTGCACCTCGCTCTTCCTTGACGTCTTCTGGGTCCCTTCCACCCTCACCGGCCTGGGTGATTCGCACGCAACGCATGCACTCACACAAGCTTGCATCGTGACACGCAGACACATTGACACACGCGTTACTTCTCCATTAACCCACTGACAAACTTACACACTGACACACAGACCAAGCACACGTACAAAATGTCCCCGTCGTAACATAGCGTGGTGTGTGTGCGTGCTTTCAGGTGTGACCATGAGCGTGGTCCTGGACATGTCGTTCAGCGTGTGCATCTGGATCTCGGCTTGCGTGGCCATCACGTACACGCTGTTGGGCGGCCTCTACTCGGTGGCCTACACCGACGTCATCCAGCTGCTCCTCATCTTCTTCAGCCTGGTGGCAAACAACCCGTCACCCCTCACTCACTCACAGACTGACCGCTTGCTCACTAATTGCGTGTGTGTGCATGTGTGTACGTTCGTATAGTGGCTGTGCGTTCCGTTCGCAGTGTCCAATCCTCACGTGGCGCCCATCGGTTCCACGATGATGAACAACACGCTGCATGCGCCCTGGTTCGGCGACTGGAACGTCAGCAACATATGGATCCTCATGGATAACTACTTCTTCTTGGTGAGTGAGTGGAGGCACTCACACGTAGACAAACACGCATGCATACACACGCGCAATCTCTCACACACACACGCACACATGCAATGAGTGAGTAACACGCCCCTTTTCAGGGCACACAAGTACTGAGCTGTGTGTGTGTGTGTGTGTGTGTGTGTGTGTGTGTGTGTGTGTGTGTGTGTGTGTGGGTGTGT